TCAAAAATCGGGAAGTTATTGTTTTCACCCCGTTTTTCAAAAAATGTTGGAGTTTTACACATACACATACACAAACTCACACATACATACAGACATAGTGAAACCCTCGCGAGAGTAGTCAGGGAAGCTTCCTAGGACCTCAGAACGTCGAGATCTAATGAGAATTTGATTTTTGCAAAACGAGGTAAAACCAATAACTTCCCGATTTTTGAAAATTTTTAATTTTCTTAGCGGGAAGTTGAAAATCTTTGTCCTGTTACAAAATAAATTGAAATCCGAACAAAAATAGTTTCACTGTAAAAAATTGCGCCAAGTACACGTTCACGACTCTTGATATACAAAAAAACTGAAGAGAAATTTTCACTTTACAAAAATATGTAAAATCTGAAGAAAAACAGTTTCACTGTAATAAATTGCGCCAAGTACACGTTCACAGCTTTTGATTTACCAAAATACCAATGAGAAATTATCACTTTACAAAAAGACGTAAAATAAAAAAAAACAGACCAAGTAGCTGTTATGATTTTTAATAATTGAAAAAATTTTGTAGTAAATTTAACAATTAAAAACAATTTTTTCAACGTACTTGGCGTGCGTCATTGAGTACCTCAAATTTTTTCATATCTGATAACTAAGGCTAAAGAACTTATGTGAAAAGTAATTTTAGGGACTACAATTCTTTCAGCCCCTCCTCACCAAGCCATTGCCCCTACTGATGATTATTTTGATGCAACCATATGAATCTATTAGTTTTGAACATCTCGATCAATCGAATCGAGATAAGTGGCAATACAAAAAGTATCAATGCCATTAAATTTGGTGAAAATTTGAATTGATTCGGTTCGCTAAATTTTGAGAAATCTCAAAAATAAAATTTTCAAAAAATGGTTTTTTAGAATAACTTTTAAACGAGTCCACGAGTCAATTAAAAAAACTCATTCGCTCTTAAACTCGAAATACTGCGTCTATTGCCGCCAGTCCCGTCAAAATTAATTGATTCTTTTGGGAGTTATCAAAAACGAAAAATTTCGAAAAAAGTGATTTTTTTTACATAACTTGGACATTTCTTTTTGGATCGTTTTTGATGAAAAAAAAAATAATTATTGAAGGATGATGATTAAAATTAAATTTTTCTTGACGAGATAAGAAACTGGATTTTTAGGCGGTAGTAGAGCTAAGCCTTCGCGCGATCGTGCTTAAAGCATGCAATAATGCTGTGAAGAAGAAAAGAACAGGAGTTAAGATAATTATTAAACTACTGACTGTTGACATGAATGAGTTATTTGACGGATTTTGTGACGTTATTACAATACATCTGAAAAAATTTGGGGTACTCAATGACGCACGCCAAGTACGTTGAAAAAATTGTTTTTAATTGTTAAATTTACTACAAAATTTTTTCAATTATTAAAAATCATAACGGCTACTTGGTCTGTTTTTTTTTATTTTACGTCTTTTTGTAAAGTGATAATTTCTCATTGGTATTTTGGTAAATCAAAAGTTGTAAACGTGTACTTGGCGCAATTTATTACAGTGAAACTGTTTTTGTTCAGATTAAATATACTCCAGATTATACAAAATTATTTTTGTAACATACTCAGTATAATCTCTGATTTAGCCATATAATTTTTCAGGTTATGCAGCGTAATATTATACTGGATATAATCTCAAAAATTATGCCGTATAATTTGAATTAAGCTCGGTAGAAATTTTTATTATACTCACGATACCTCCGCTACTTTTTTTTCTAGCGCCTGCGCACTTAGCATTATCATATCTATTATGTATTTTAAATATGAGGATAGTCAAATATTGTTTCAAATAATTATTACTCACATAAAAAATATTCAAGGAGTATTAAAGCAAAATTTTTTCGATAATATGGGATTAAAATATTTTTTTTCTTTTCTTCTACTCTTTGAACTTAAAAATGTTAGGCTAAGAATTTCAATAATAAAATTGCAATTTTAATTTCTAAATCAACACCGCAATGAATGAAATAAGTCAAGAGATGAATACATAATTTTAATATTTCTTTAGTTCGATTTTTTTAACAACAAATTACAAAATTTTGATCTTAAAGTAAAGTTTACAGTTAATCATAAAACTTAAAAAATATATCAAGACAGGTTATAAAATAAATTGTTTAAAAAAAAATTAATATTTTTTTTTAGAATTATATTTCAAAATTTAAACAATTATTTAAAGAACAATCATGACAGTAAGAACATTAATTCTAATTTTAATTATATTAATAATTATAAAAATAATAATAATAATATAGCTTACATAACGACAGCGATAAAAACATTTTTCAAATCAGAGCAACATAAATTTTTATACCCATCGTTTTAAAATATATTTTTTGTTATTTCCAGCTTTAGTAATATGTATAACACAGCATGATTCTAAATCATCTGATCCTATAATATTCCAATCTGGACTATCATTAAAAGCAGAAGGGTGAATTTCATAGGCCTGATAATGTTCATCGTAATTACAGTAATTACTAAAATTTTTGGTCACGATGAATAATTGATCGGTAAAATCATGAAATATAGTGAAAACTGTAAAGAAAGTTGGTCCAGAGCTTGTTGGAATCATTAAGATTGAATCTATTTTAATTGAACGTGCTTTGAATTTTAATAATTTAATTTCATATACATGTTCTGTAGTACTTTCAGATAAATATTGACAGTAACATGGATATTGAGGCAAGCCTTTAAGGAGTGTAACATCATTTACTTCACAGTCATATTTACATACGTTCTGATGATTTAATGCAAATCTATAACTCAAATGTAGTTGATGTTTTATAGCTATAGTCTTACAAATACTTCGTCTGATTACTGCGGTACGTGCATCTACTTTAGCTTCTTTATTTTTACTTTCGGCTCTCATGGTGTTCAAATTCCAAAGTGGACCCATAAGCTTCATGACACGTGAATAATGAAGTAGAAAATGGTGCTTGGGCTTCATACAATTTGGAAACAAAGAAGTTAACAATCTCAAATATTCACTTATTTGTCGTTGTAAGTAATCACATAAGTCATCGTGGATTATTGTCGACGTGACAATATCTATTATGTCTATCAGATAAATATATAATTTCCAATGTAGATCATCAACCGGAATGAAATGACCTATCAGAACACCAATATTGCAAATAACACATAATGCTTCAGCAGCAGAAACTTTCAAGTATTTTTCAGTTATCTGATTTTTTTATGTCTTTTGGCTTATTTCTTATTTCATCAGGTTCATAATATAAGCTTTCTATTCGATCATTTAAATTGTCTAATGAAAAAAATTTTGCTTCTTTTATAAAATAGTTCAAAATCAATCCTAAATCGTATTCTATGGTTGCATCAAAATAATCATCAGTAGGGTCAATGACTTGGTGAGGAGGGGCTGAAAGAATTGTAGTCCCTAAAATTACTTTTCACATAAGTTCTTTGGCCTTAGTTATCAGATATGAATAACGTTTTTTGGTTCCAACAATAATTTCAAGTGGGGGTATATATGTATCAATATCTTGGAAGTGTTGTAAGCATTGATGCTCTGTACGTAATTCTTCGAAAGAATTTAATACTAATGCGAGCATTGTTTTCAACGCTAATAAATTATTAGGTGATTCATTTAAAAATTCTAATCTGTTTAATAGGTGCATAAAAAGAATCGTGATAGGGCTATTATTTAAAAATTGTGTGAAACTATTGGTGATATCATGAACTCTGCTTCGAGGCAAATTCGGTAAATCAAACAATTTGGCAATGTATAAAGCAGCTTGTCTTTTCAAGCTCTGAGCAAATATTTGAGGATCCATTTATAATAATAAATATTGTTTACATGCGATATTTAATAATATTAATCAAACTTAGTTTTTAACTTTTTTTCAAAAAACAATAGAGCTTTTTGCAATTGAATCGATGATTTTGATGGCGAAGTTATTTTATAAATAACTTTCTTCAGAAGTATATATGTAGGACTCACAAATTTTGGCAATGTGCAAGATGTTAAAAGAAATATTTTAAACGTAACGTCTAAAGCTTCAAGTGCGGTATTAACCTTCAGTTTTACGTTATCAATTATGACATAAAAGTCGACAGGTCCGACAAAAACCATAAATGGATAAAACGCTTCTTTATTAATAATAAATGTCTGCCGCCGAGCTTTAATTTTAGCTTCCAGCTCATCAGATTTCTGTAAAAATATGAGAGTGTTAATTATTTATCACATGAATCTTAAAAATTAAATTAGTAATTTTTAAATGAAGTTCTACCTCAACAGTGAGAATGTAAGAATTTTTAAATTCTGTTGTTTTTTCATCAGCTACTGAATGATTTTCTACTTTCCTCCGTTTGACTGTACTGGAAATAGACGATTTAATAGCCAGAGGTAATAGTGAAATTATAACAGCATCTTTATCATCTAAAATATATTAAAAATATAGCTATTGCGTTGATTTAAAAAATTTAAAGTACAATATTGTTATGAACCTTCGACTAACTCGGCTAATTTAACAACCTAAGTTTCAGCATCAACATCATCTATCCTTTTTGATAAAATAAAATCTTCAAATGTTGCTCGAAGATCTGGCCAAGATCTCTTCAATGATTTAGCACTTTCAAATTTTTTCTCAAAATCCAACGTTATCTGAAGAAAAAAAAATTTAGTTTAAGTTTAAATACTTTTTTTGTAAAATTATATTAAAAATAAAATATTAATATAATTATTGAAACTAATACTTACAAAATCAGCTCCTTTTTCACCTGATAAACAAGGATATAAACTAAATTCAACTAATTTATCAATACTGTCTGCTACCAACTGTTTTCGAGCTGAGAACGTGTCAATCCAAGCTTTCTCAATTTTTTCTAAATCGTCAGAGTCCTTTTTCAGTAAATTTAGTAGACTTGTGGTTGAAGTTGAATCTAAATAATGTTATTACGTCATTATACCATTCATAAAGTAGAAAAAATTGTTAATAATTCAAAAACTTACCAGTACTACTATCCAAAACTGAGTTACGGCGACTAGAGATAACTAATAAACCTGAGTCAACTAATTGTTTTCGAGCATAGTTTAACTGGCTTTGCAATTTGCCAGTTGGGTTAATTTTATTCGTACCATCTGTTAACCCAGGACTGTAATAAATACCAGATTTGTCATCAAACGATTGACTTATTTCTGTGGCAAGATTTTTAAGAATAGATGGTGGAACCCTGCAAGCAGAAAAATGTAAGAATTATAGTTTAACAGTGCCAAATTTTTGGTATTATACACTCAACTATACGAAGCAATCAACTGAATCATATAATGTTTATTAATTCATTATTAACTCTATTTTTAAAAAAGTTTGCTTACTCTAATTTTTTCAAAGGATTATCTGAGGTGATTTTTCCTTGTTTAAAAATTATGTTAATCTCTCGGCCAAGAGTGATTTCCGCCAAATAATTGCTCAAAGTGTCAGTGAGATTATTATGAAGTCTGTAATAATTTAATATAAATGCTCCATAATAAATGTCATTGCACAAAAATTAAAATTAAAAAATGAAATAATGGCAACATAAAAACTCAAGCGTGACTATGAACAGGTTAAATAAACAATTGCTTCAAGTTGAATTTTAAGTTGTCTTTGTCGTTGAAATTGATGGCGCAGCGAATTTTGGCGTTGATTTCTCTGGAGGGTGAAGGTGTTGAACGTGGAGAGTTTTCTGAAGTTGACTACGCCAATCACTAAGTCGACTGTCAACCTCAATGCTTGGGTTGATAAGTGATGGGGTTTAATCTAATATGCACAACGTTCTTTTAATTTAGATTTTTCGAAATCGATGTTTGATTTTAATGGAACTTGCTCATATATCTAGACTAGATTTTACTGCGAACCGTACCGCACCCGACGGGAGTTCCCCCGTATTGTTCAAAAAAATTTGGATGCACTGAACCGGTCTGAACTGAACTGAAGAGAGGTTCCTCGTTGATTAAATGTTCTGGATGTACCGACTGATAGAGGTTCCCCGTAAATTAAAATGTTTCGAAGATACTGCACTGGAGAGAGGTTCCTCGTAGTTTAAAGATGTAGAATGTCCTGACTGTGTTGATCGATGACGACGACGACCTGGTAGTCCATGGCGCTTGCATGTTTATACTATTGTGGAGGGATGAACCTGGTGGTGGTGCGATCCCCAATTTCCATACCTTTGGACTGGAGTGGTGGTACCATCCCTCAATTTCTAAGAATTTTGTTGTTGTGCTGGTCTTCGTATGTGGGAGACCTTTAACTCTATAGGTCCATTGAATATCCTCACCTGAACTGGCAAATATTGATTAGCCATCCCCTGGTGACCACCAGTGGTTCTTTCTGAGAAGTGGAACATTCAATTAACGATGATGGGACATCGCATCAGGGGTGACAACCATCCCCTATTGTCTCTTTAAAGTGTCTATTCTTCATTTTCATATAGTCCTAATCCTGCGCATGTGAAATACCTGGCAACATAACGCACCCTTAACCTTAGAGTGGAGCTTCCTCCTTTGTTTTGTGTTCTTCTATACTTGTCAGTCACACAAATATCGTTTTAACCTGTGTTCATTCCTTCTTCGGCACTCTTTTAATCAATACCAAGTCCTCTTCTTCTTTTACTTTCTTACATGTTGATCCTTTCAATCCATCTTTCTTGTAGTAGGAATATTTTGATTATTGATTAAATTGACCAAAATTTCTAACCGTAACACGACTGTTACGATACCATAAGCGCTGAACACTTTAACGAATCATAACTTACAAAATAATGCGAATTTATATCTAAAAATTCACAGGCATATTTTTTGGGTACTATCCTAACTATTAATGAAAAAAAAAATTTTATTTTTAAAAAATATTACATGTATCGCCCCCCTTAATCGATCAAGTAGTTCAGAAATTACAGGGTTTTGTTATGTCCACCCGCAAATTTTTTTTTCTTTTCTCTTTCTTTAAATTCAAATCGTCCGCGCAGATGGAAGACTTCTCGAAGTGCGAAAGCCACAATAAAATAGAAGCTACGCTACTGCTGGTTGACTAGTGGGGACTTCTGCAAACTCAGCAGCGCGAGGTTTTAAAAAGGCGATCAACAGCCAACGCCGTGTCTTAGTTGGTTAATTCAATTTCCGCGTTTAACTGACGGGCCCGTGCCTTGAAGAGTCCTCTCCTTTAATTTGCACTGCACTTAAAGGAAGTTTGTACGCGGTTTAACCGGCAGGCCACGTATTAACTTTAAGTATAAACCAGGTCTTTGTTAGTTAATTTGACTTCCGCGTTTAACTTGACGGACCCGTGCCTTGTATAAGTCCCTTATCTTAATTTGCGCTGCACTTAAGACAAGTTTAGACACGGTTTAACCGGCAGGCCACGTATTAATTATAAGTATTAATTATAATCATAGAGAGCCGTAATCAAAGTTCTAATTTGCTCTGCACTTAGGCGAGAATACGACCAATAAGTAAAATCTAGAGAACCAGATTCTCAAAATTCTAATTTGCTCCGCACTTAGGCGAGAATCCGGTCAGTAAATCATTTAAGATCTTTTTAAAGCTAAATTTACGCACTTTACCCTACGGGGGACTGGAGGACGTTAGCTCAAACAAATAAAATTCAAATAAATAAATTACGTTAAATAAAATTTGTGAAAGTGTAAAAGTTTTAGTGTTTATAAAAATAAACATCAAAAAAAGTGAAATTTTGTTGGCGTTAGTTCATTTCATAAAATAAGGAGCCCTTAGAGTAAGCAGCCCAAATCCATCCAATTCCATCCGCTGCAAGGACCAACCAGAGGGCCCATTCAAGGAAAAGGCGCTAACAGCAGCCCCGGAATCACGGATCCAGTAATAAGAAATAATCCTGCAAGTAGTAAGTACATCTATACTCAATAAAAATCCGTGCTCAGTCTCAAACGAAGGCGTGGTAAATTCGTACATCGAAAACGTCCCACATAAATAATTAAAAACTTCATTGCGTATTCTTTGAACTGTTAGTCCAAACCTCCACCGTTTACGCTACCGCTCTAAAAACGCCCTTGGACATAACAGTTTCAAAATTTTCAAAATCTTAAAAATTCATTTTTTGGCAGATTCTGCCGCGCATAACTTTTGAATGAAATAACTTATCGAAATTTTGTAAATTGCATTTCAAAACCCATTAAAAGAGCTTCAATTTTCATACTATTTCATTATCCTTAACTTAAAATAACTTATTCGTCTGGAGGTTTTTAATGAAATTTTACTCTGGCAGTCGTTTTTTCGATTTATTTGTCTAATACATCTCATAAAAATCTATTCATATTTTTATCCTTATTCTCAATAAATTTTTTTTTGTATATAATCCTAAAAGTTTTTTTTTCTATTCATTATGAAATCTACTTCCATTTCAGCTGCCGAATGGCCTTTTTTTTGTTAAATTGAATTTCGTTAGAACGGTTTTGTATTTATGGTTCTTCAAGGTTCATTTGCAGTGACTGTTAATTTAATTTATTAGTTTAATAAATTAAATTAACAGTACGGGCATGTTTTTCGACCCGCTGAATACGAATTTCAAGTCAGTTTAGGCCGTCCAGCTTTCAATTTCGAGTAAATTGCAAAAAACCTCAAATAATAGCGAAAATTCGATGTTTTGGCAAGAAAAAACTTTTGAGATCTAAGGCAAGCATAATTGTTATGTATTTTGGTCTGTTAAATACTAATTTTGATTGTACTTTATTTATAAACCGTTTTAAATCTAAAAAAATTGTAAAAAATCATCAAAAATTGTAAAGATCGAAGAAAATTGGGATTATCTTGGTATAAAAAATTTTGTGGACCCGGATTGACAAAGATTTGCATGTAATTGAATCTGCTTGATCTGATTCTGCAATAAATTTGGCCCATCGTCCCCTCAAACATTCGTAAAATTGCAAAAAATCGATAAAATAGCAGAATATTGCTGCCGAAAAAGTGGAAAAAAATCTTTTAAACACAATTAAATAAATTTATTGTATTTTTTATTAACAAAATACAAGATTAATATCTGAAAATGCAAAAAAATTGTAAAATCTGTGAAAATGACGTATAAACAGAATTAGAAGAATGATCGAACTTTCTTATTTTCAAATTATCTACGGAGTGGATTTCTCTTTCGTTTATTATTTTCTTTTGGTATATCTCTTTTGAATGTCCAGCAATAGTCTGCCATCATGTTGATATTCCAATTTCCTTGATACCTAGTCTCCATTTCACTTATGTATTGATGAAAACGTTCTCCCTGTTCTTCACTGTACTCCCTAAGATTCTCAGGAAAATGGTCGATGTGAGAATCTAGGAAGTGTAATTTTAGATTCATTAAGCATCCTAAAGTTTTGTAATTTGTCACTAATTCTTCGACTATTGTCCTGTAATTTTCACTTTTGTTATTTCCTAAAAAATTATGACACACATTTTGGAAACTTACCCAAGCTGCTCTCTCCGTATCATTCATTTTACCTATAAAACAAGCATCCTGTAATAGATTTCTAATTTGGGGTCCATTAAAAATTCCCTCTTTTAATTTGGCATCACTTATCGCCGGAAACTTTTCTCTCAAGTACTGAAAACAATCACCATCCTTGTCCAGAGCTTTGACATATTATTTTATGAGACCTAGTTTGATGTGAAATGGCGGTAGCAGATAGTTTGACGGCTGAATTAATTATATTCGTATTACATTATGAGTACCGACATTTAATTGCACTCTCATAGGCCATTCTTTTTTCTCTGCTAGGCCATCTTTCTGTCTCTGCTATCCCACAAACAGATAGTAGGGATATTTTGTGAATCCTGACTGTTGGCCTAAAAGAAGTGCGATTTTGAGATCCCCGCAAATTTGCCATTGGTGTTCAGAATACTTTATCTTATCCAATACAATTCCCAAATTTTCATAGGTCTCTTCAAGCTTCGTCGAATGAGCTATTGGAATTGGCGCTAATATGTTTCTAATATGAAGCAAGACAGCTTTGAGACTTCTAGTTGATGAATCTATAAAGAGTCTCCACTCATAGTCTTTATAGATATTAGGTTTTAATTCATCAACCAAGCCTTTAACATTGGAACAGTACACCACCGAGTTCTCATCATCCTTTGTGAAAAACTTCCGGAACTCCTCTTCTCTATTCCGATAAAAGTAAGCCGTTAACTTTTTAGCTAACAAATTTTTATTTTTTAGCCTTGATGCCAGTAATTCAGCTCCATCCTTAGGCAAATTCAAATCTCGTATGAGATCATTTAGTTCTTCTCGACTAAATGTTTCAGGGTCTTTTGTTTTCCCATCTGGCATGAAATCTTCATCTTCGGGATTTTCATCTTCAGAAATTTCTTCTTCCTCTTTCTTCTCCATTGGCACTTCTTCTTTTTCTACTTCCATCTCTTCAAGAGCTTCGGCTTCATCAACAATAACGACGAAGTAAAACCGGCAATTTCAGTCATACAGAAGTAACAGTTATGCGAACTAGTTAGTGAAGTCCAGATCATGGGAATTGTAAATTTCAAGTTTTCTCTGTTTTTGGTTTTTTCCCATCGTGTCAACATAATATTACATTGAACACAAACAAAGTGTGGGACCCAGGCTGAATCCAAATTTGTAATTTGAATGCAAAAGCATTCTTCATTATTTCGTTTTAATATATCTGAAAACGTTCTGCGATTTTTTACCGGCTCAAACTCCCCACAAACGTAACAAAATAGATCAGGACTCTTATTGCATAAATGGAAATTGCTTCTTGTAATAGTATACTCTCCAGTAGCCAAGTTTCCCACTACTGAAGAGCTGCAGTCGCTGGATGACGACGCCTGCGGGCCTGCTTTCTCACCCTGACCAGACCTCGATACTGGGTTTCCGAATCCCTGCATAGTAAAGTCCTCATCACTTGTACCTGCCATGTCGGCACACATGCCGTTAACCCAGGGACTCTGCCAGATGGTTCTGTTGCCCACCGTCACCCCGAGGAGGTGCCCTGGTTGCAAGTACAAGCGATCATGCAATTAAATGAAGTCTGCACATCGAAGAAATTGAAATCCCAAGACGATGACAAATTTTTACTAAATGAAGGAAAAGGTGGAAGAAGAGGTATCTACGTCAAAGATCATTTGAGAATGAAACAGTACAATACCCTCGAAAAACCGTTAAAAATTCAATTTGTGTACATTCTTGGATCTTAATCTTGTATTTTGGAAATAAAAAATAGAAGAAATTTATTTAATTGTGTTTAAAAGATTTTTTTTCATTTTTTCAGCAGCAATTTTCTGCTATTTTATCGGTTTTTTGCAGTTTTTATGAATGTTTGAGAGGACTATGGGCCAAATTTATTGCAGAATCAGATCAATTAGATTAAATTACATGAAAATCTTCGTCAATCCGGGTCCACAAAATTTTTTGTCCCAAGATAATCCTAATTTTTCACGATTTCTGCAATTTTTAAGGATATTTTACAATTTTTTTTAGAATTAAAATAGTTTATGATTGGAGTACGATCGACATTAGTATTTAACAGATCAAAATACATGAAAATTATGCTTGCCTTAGTTCTCAAAATTTTTTTCCTTGCCAAAACATCAAATTTTCGCTATTTTTGGGGGTTTTTTGCAATTTACTCGAAATTGAAGGCTGGACGGCCTAAACTGACTTTAAATTCGTTTTCAGCGGGTTGAAAAACATGCCCGTAGATAGGTGGCACCCGGTGTACAGACAATTTTTTTTTGTGTGCCGGTGTTATTGATGTATTGCCATCTAAAGTTCTAATATTTATTTACTAAACGAATGCATCAGCTAATAGCGTGTACTTTTTCTCGATCTCCCTTACTCTCTCTCAACCTTTCTCACTAGCTCTATCCCACCTTTCGCTCCATAGCACGGTGCGTGATGTGAAGTTCGCTCTATCTCACTCTCTCTCTCTCGATCTGTCTCACTCGCTTGCTCCCTACTCTCGCTCGATGGCTAAGTGCTTCATGCTACGTTCGCCCTTTCTCATTCTCTCTCAATCGGTCTCAATCGCTCTCTCCCTCTTCTCCGACAAAAACGCTGCACATCTTCGTGACGCTAAGATTATTATTGCGTTTCATTTGTAAAAATTTTACCCTCACGCGCCTAAAGAAGTTTCACTTCAAAAGGATCTACAAGAATGTTCTTGAAGTAACGATTCTTTTCCGATGTCTGGTTAACACATGGTTGATCTAGAGCTAAGTTGATTTTTTACGTAAGTTCGTAGAAAATCTTTGAACATTTAATACTCTACACTGAAAAAAAAGTTTTCTACTCGGCAGCATCTACTCTATAGTGACTAGATAGTAACGACTGGATCGTTACGAGTACAATCCGTACAGCGACGAGTAGCAGTCTGGATATTGACCATCACGATCTATTCAGTGCCGTTCACGAAACTGTTGCTACTCTTAGTATACAGTTTTCCTAACCTCACTCTCCTCTAGACAGCAACGTGTGGATACTGACAGTAGCGATACTATATAGTGCGAAGCAGAAATAGTATATTGTGTGACTAGGGATGAAACAAAACGATTTCAGACCAAAGTGAAGTTCGCTCGGACAGGCATCACTCGGTCTGAAATCGTGTTTCATCCCGCGTCACACATTATATATTTCATATAAGTTGCATTAAAAATACTAGATTCAATATCTGGAGCCAACCAGAACTAGAAAGTTTCAGATGAATAGCGAAAATACCATTTTATGATAAAACTTGTAATAAAATAGAAAGTAATAGTTTATATTTTATCAAACATTATCCGTAAATTGAATAGTTTTCTTTTGTCATTCTTATTTATGCTTAATAATAGAATTACAATATGTCAGTACAGTTAACGATGAGAATGACAACTATAAGGGTATAAAATAAACAAACAATTGATAGGATTGAAAATAAAGCTGCAACTTCATCTCGCGGGCAGAGAATCGCCATTTTCTGTCCGCCGGGAAGAAATGATTGATTCCTGCCCGGCACAGTCGCATTGGTCTGAAATTGTCTAGTTTCGGTTGGCTCAACAGGCATTGAAACTCGCATTTTCAATGCAGGTTATATGAAAACTTTTTTTTTAGTGTATGTTTTTCGACTGAATTTTTGTGGAAAATGAGTGATGAAGAAAAAATGATATTAAAGGAGACATAAGCAAGACAAAGACCAAGACCGAACAAACAAGACCAAGACCGATACCAAGACGACCTTGGTCTTGGTCTTGCTTTGCTCATCACTTATCTACACAAAGAGCTATATTCTTACGCATTTAAATTTGTTTTCTATCATGTTTTTTACATCATACAAAATGGATATATAATTAAAAATATTATTTGTGTTAACAACCCTGATTAAACGAAAGCATTGAAAAGTATCAGAAAGAATTTGACGTCTAATACCGAAAATCGTTTCGCATTCTACTATTTGTGGGTGTTCAGCACAAAGAATTATTTAAAATCTTATTATTTTTCAGGAAAAAGTGTTTTTCTCGATATACGTATACTTGCATCTTGAGAAAAGTGTAGAGCAATACCTCAAACGCTTCTCATTATGAGGCGTGATCTTGTGAAAAAAGTTTTATAAACATTTTGGATCTATTTTCTGGATTCTAGATTCTACTAAGTCGTCCAATAAATGTCTATCATGATGTTAGTGACTTTGAAACAAACTGGTGGGATAGTGAGTTTATTACAGAATGTTTGTGCTGGCACAATGTTTATCGACAGAGGCACAATTCTCGTCCATTAACAATGGCACCACAGGTAAATAAAATTTCATCATTACTTTAGATAAATACTCGAAAAAATCGATGTTGAGTCTTTTTGTGTTGTACAACTATTTTATCATCAATAATAACCCCATAACTACATCATATTATGGAGTTCGAGAATCTCATAATTTTATTAGTAAAACAATTTTTTCAAAATTTGGATTGCGATATCTTCCAAGCAAATCAACCAATTTGCATGCAATTTTCGCAATCAATGTTGTATCTGAACGTTAAGGTCTGAGTTGATTTAGAAATAGGAATTTCTGGAAATTTTATATTTAAGATTTCTCAAGATATTCTGTAACGGACTATTTGAAATTTTCCTGGTTACAGAAAAAAATCCAAAACGATTGACAATGCTAATTCTCCATAAAAGAAGAAATTCGAAAGTTTGAAAAATATTCAATAGTAAAGAAGTCAAATTTTGTTACTTTGAATACTTTCGTTTTTCGATTTTCTAATCAGCATTATATGTAATTTACTGGTGATCGAAGTAAAACCGTTCAAAAATTATATAACGAGGTAACACACACACACACACACACACACACACACACATACACACACACACACACACACACACACACACACACACACACACACACACACACACACACACACACACACACACACACACACACACACACACCTGCGGCAGAAGAGAAACTGATACCAGGCGCGTCTCCCCGTAGCGGAACACACACACACACACACACACACACACACACACACACACACACACACACACACACACACACACACACACACACACACACACACACACACACACACACACACACACATACACACACACACACACCTGCGGCAGAAGAGAAACTGATATCAGGCGCGTCTCCCCGTAGCGGATGGGAGAACGCTCGCTGTCCTTGGAGGACACTAGGTCTCTTAGTTGATGAGGTACAGAGGCAAGTTTTTGGCAAGCCTGCTAAGAGAAAAAATAGAACCTTTCCAGACCCAACATTCAGCCAAGCAACAAAGAAGAAGGACCTGAAGAAAAGCCCTCTGTAAAGAACAGCACTGCAAAGCGAGGAACAGATGAAAGCGTCAGCTTGCCCGAGAAAAAATATTTATATATAATTATATATATTTATATATAAATTGGTTATATATGATTATATATGAAAAATTGCCAAATATAATCATATCTAATTATATATAATTATATATAACAATATTTAATTATAGATTTATTACATCTAATTAATTATTGGGTTAATTTTATGGATAGAGTATTTAATATGGTCCTACGCAATTCTGTGTAACCAATCGAAATGCAAAAAAAATATCTAGATCTAATTTTATGGCTATAACACCAGCGGTCACCCATCCAACTATTAACCCTGTTCAATGCTGCTTAACTTTGGTGATCTCCGTGCGTCTTGAAGTTTCTATCTGCTGTGCTGCTGTCTTAGACAATAATGATTCTATGATCTACTTAATGTATCATATGAGTTTATCATAAATATAATATAAAAATTGATTTTATAATATATTTGGATAGTCATAATTCATAATTTATTTATCTTACCGAATTTCATTATAATATAACACTTGTTTAAATAATAAAATAAATAATGATTTTACTATTACGTAGTAGCAGAGCAGACAAAACATCTCATAGAAAATGTGACAAATTTTGTATTTCAGAATTGTTTAAACGCAATTATAAACATCATTTTACACTTTTGGTAATTACCAAAAAAAATTTTTTTTTCAAAGAAAAAATTTTAATGTATGTTAATTATATATAAGCATATATAATTATATATGATTATATATGACCTCATATACAATTCCATATATAAACATGTATGATTATTGTTAGAAATAACGCCTATATTTAGTTCCCTGATTAGCCGCCCTTGAGCGCGCTCAGCGTCTTACCGAGAGCCCCCGACTTCTTGGTCGGGGAGTACCCAACCCTGGGAATCAGACAGTACCAACAAAGCTTTCATTTGGTCCTGTGACAAAGTACCATTCCAGAAGGCAGTCAACAACAGAGAAGCCGGATTTGTAGCAGCATGGGTAGACGGAATTCGTTTCTACAGCTACTATGCCCCCTCTCCGAGTCTTTCTTTGGAACAATTCATCGATTTTCTTGATCGTTTAACCGAAGATGCAAGGCAACACTTTCCCGTAGCCATAGCAGGTGACTTCAATTCCTGGGCAGTAGACTGGGGCAGCAAGTTCACCAATGCACGGGGAAAGCCTCTACTTGAAGCAATGGCCACACTTGATGTTGTCCTCCTTACCGCTGGTGAGACACCAACATATTCAAAAGGAGAGGCAAGCTCTATAGTGGATCTTACGTTCGTCAGCAGCAGTCTTACGAGAGGAAGCTATTCTTGGGTAGTTATGAAAACCTACACTGCCAGCGACCACTACGCCGTCCTTTGGGAAGTATCAACTGGCCAGAACCCTCGAAGAGCAACCAGACAAACTAACGCAGTTGGATGGAAAGTGAAAGCTTCTGACCTAGCTACTTTAATAATAGCCATAGATAGCGACCCGACTACCACAGGGAGTGCTGAAGACAAAGCAAAAGAACTAATGAAGAGAGTGACCCAAGCCTGCGACGCTTGTATGCCCCGGAAACGTGGCATGAATCATCGATCTTCGGTACACTGGTGGAACGATAACATCAGCGCTGTTCGTAAAGAGTGTTTTAAAAGAAGAATATCTCAGCGTGGCTACCGTCGACCTAACTCTGCAGAACTGGTGGCAGAGTATAAAAAGGCCCGTCGAGAATTGAATAGATCCATCACGGATAGCAAAAGACGCTGTTGGAAGGAACTCGTCGAAGAGGTAGAGAAAGATCTGTGGGGCAGACCGTACAAGGTGGTCATGACTCACCTGAAATGTCAACCAATGCCGTCACCTACATGTCCACAGCTACTAGAGAAAATCGTCTGTACGTTGTTTCCTCAGCAACGTGAATTGATCTATTCGTCACTGCAGCCTGACCCTGAAGACATCCCACCCGTCACAGAGGAAAAATTGATGGAGGCATGCAATCGTGTAGGGAATAATAAGGCGCCGGGATTGGATGGAATTCCAAACATTGCTTCAAAAACATCTATTAAAGCAGCGCCGGCATTATTCATAGATACCTACAATGGGTGTCTCAAGGAAGGAGTCTTTCCTGAAAAGTGGAAGCGGCAAAGACTTGTACTGCTCCCGAAAGGAAAGAAGCCACCTGATGAACCATCATCTTACCGTCCATTCTGCATGTTAGACACGGCGGGTAAGATATTAGAGCGCATAATTTATCAAAGAATAGAAGCAGTAGCTGATCCACTCCTAGCAGACAACCAATTTGGTTTCCGAAAAGGACGATCAACCCTGGATGCAATCAACCTGGTCGTCGACACAGCTAAGGATGCGATTGCTGGAAAGAGATGGAATCGTGGCACAAAAAAGTATTGTTTGGTGGCTGCATTAGACGTCAAAAATGCTTTCAACTCTGCTAACTGGGACTGCGTAATGCACGCCCTCGAAGAGAAACGAGTTCCAGGGTATTTACGTAGAATGGTAGCAAGCTACTTCACAGAGTCCTCAAATATGACACAAAAAGTGGTCCTAAGGAGTTGATATTATTGGTGGTGTACCACAGGGCTCAGTTCTAGGTCCTCTGCTATAGAACATTATGTATGATGGTCTCCTAAATATAGCATTGCCAGCAGAAGTGAAACTGGTAGCATATGCAGATGATGTTGCCGTGGTGATTGTCGCGAAGTATCTCGAAGAGATAAATCTAGCCTTCGACATTACATTTAGACGGATTAAATTATGGATGGATACGGTGAACTTGCAATTAGCTAAGCATAAAACCGAAGCAGTGCTCATTACCAGCAGGAAAGCGATGGAAACCATCAAGTTACAAGTTGGAGAACATGAGATCACATCACAACCGTACATTCGGTACCTGGGACTGATGCTTGATGCTCGACTCAATTTCAAGCAGCAAGTCAAACATGTAACTGCCAAAGCATCAGTAGTTAGAGCGAGCCTAGCACGACTGATGCCTAAGGTTGGTGGACCAAAGCAGAGCAGAAGACTACTGCTGTCATCAGTAGTAACATCCGTGCTCATATGTGGCATATCCATTTGGGCCAACGCATTAGAAACGCAAGAATCATGGAGAAAAGCGGGTCCAATTTATAGAGAAAGCGCTCTGAGAGTTGCCAGTGCCTTCCGCACAATATCAAAAGAAGCAGTGTGCGTCATTGCCGGAACCCTACCTCTTAGAGTACTAGCA